GGGGGGGGAGACAGTGCACAGACGTGTCCTCTTCTTGATGGGGACCGCTGGGAATCAGACACTGTGGTCGACCCCCAACGAGGGGCTCATGTCCCCTCCCTGTGTGCACACCTGCAGGGATGGGGAGATCGCTGCCTCCCCTGAAGATGGCCCTTCCCCTGAGCCTTGACCTGACATGACCCGGCCTTCCTGGACCTCAGAACCCCCACCCCAGTGAGCTGGGTGGGCTCTGCAGCCAGGGACCCAGCGTCCTTTCCAGTGCAGGTGCTCTAAGCACGGTCCTCCCGTGAGTTTCCTTCATTCCCTCTGTGTCTGGGGATGTGGACCTGAATGCTGTTGCTGAGCCCCAGCCACAGCCTAGGACACACACAGAGGCCCTGGAAACCCACGTAGGGACAGGTCAGGGTGACTGGTTAGGGGCCCAACTGTGGGGCTCCTGGGGTCTGGGTGGGGCCGTGTGCTCCTCACCCACACCCTCCAAAAGCAAATCCGGAGGCCAGCATAAGGGATGCAGGGCCCAGGGCCCGCCCCTCAGGAGCCCCAGCCGGTGGAGCAAGCAGCAGAGCCAGGGTCAGGGAAGCCAGGGGCTGGGGACCAGCTGTCTCCCAGTGGAGTCCCCTGCAGCAGGAGGAGCTGGTCAGGCAGCCGAGCTGCAGGCGGTACAGAGGGGCCGGGCATGCAGGGGACAGCAGGCCTCCCGAAGAGGAGGGCCCTGCATACCCCGCTGGTAGGGGGTGCCAGCTGTCTGGGGACGAGACGCCACACTGCCTGGGGAAGCAGGTGCAGGAGGGGGGACAAGTGGCACCCGGCCCGGTGTCAGTGCTGCCTCACGTTTCCAGAGGAGCTGGGAAACCCAACGGCAGCCTGGCTGGTGCAGAGCCAGAGAGCTCGGCCTGTGGTCCCGGAGCCACAGTGGCATTTCCAGCTCTGGGTTAAATGTCAACAGCACTAAATGCCCCGCCCTCCTTTTTCCTGTAGAATAACTGCAGAAACCGCCTCATCGATTATTTAACAAAACTGACGGGAGGAGGCAGAAAGTGGGGATTTCCTGGGCCTGCGTCTAAGATTCCCTGTGCGGAACAAGCCATTGCCGTCGAGGTTTGAAACCTCAGACAGCGAGTGCCAGCTCACACCCTGCCCAGCCCGGGCTGCCCAGGGCTCACGGGCCACCAAGTCCCCATCCAAGGTCAAATAAAGATTGAGGGGGCCGGGGGGTGGGGCATAGATCATCCTCACAGTTATCTTCTCGCCTGTCAGGCACACAAAGCCATCATCTCTCTACGGGAGAACAAGGCACGTTTTTATCCTGGAAACTGGCCCAAATGCAGCAGGAGGGAAACGTCAATCCCCTCCACGCCCCCCGCCCCCACCCCGGGGTTAGTGTCAGAGCCCCAGGGCCACTGCAGGCCGCGGGTCAGACCCTGGAGCTGCAGCCCTAGCCTCACCTCCCACATGCTGGGACCCAAGAACTCCTGGACTTCCATCTGTCCATCCATCCGCCCGCCGCCCACATCCCCTGTCTAGGAGACACTAGGACCATGGGCAAACGTGCCAGCCCAGGGTCCAGCAAACCCTCAGCGCTCAGTACAACAGCCATTGTCATTTCCAAGCCCTCACGGCCTGAGCCACCAGTTCCCCGGTTCCTGGAGCTATACTGGGTTTGCAGGGGAGCTGCTTTAAGACGGTTTCGTGGGAGCACCGGGGGCCTCTGCGCAGGTGAGCGCAGGCGTGCTGCCCTCTGGTGGCGGGAAGGGGACACTGCACCGTGACAAGCACCTGTCTCCAGGCAGGTACCACAGGCACAGGCGGGTGAGCCCGCCAGCCTGCATCTGCCCCTCTGCCCGCGTGGCCCTGGCATCACCTTTGTGGATTTGCGGCAGGGGCCTTCCACGCCCGAGACGGACTCACTCCTCCCGCAGCTGCCCGGTCGAGCAGAGGTCAACGCGCACACGGCGCTTTGCAAAGGGCACCGCGCCCCCGGCAGCCAGCAAGGTTAGAGCTGTCGCCGCTGCTACTGCTTCCGAGCGAACCAGGGCCACAGGGCGGCCCCGCCGGTACACGGTCGTGGCAAGGACGACCAGGACCCGCGCGTGGCAATGCCCGGGGTTCTCTCCAAGCGGCTCCGAGACAGGGGTGGGTGGTTCTGGCCACGATTCACGTCCCGGGGTGTGAAAGTTACAGAAAGACATGAACTACGAAGAGACGGGCGGTCAAACCAGGAGGAGACGGGGAGGCACCGTAAACGCATGTTGCTAAGTGACGGAGCGGATCTGAGCAGGCTGCACACTGTGTGAGCCCAACCACATGACGTAACAGAGACGGCAGAACTACGGGGACGGCGGCGAGGGCAGTGGGTGAACGGGGGGCGCAGGGGACTTCAGGGCAGGGAAACTAGCCTGCGTGATGCCATAACGGCGGACACGTGTCACACGCACTTGTCCAAACCCACAGAATGACCGGCACCCAGAGTGAGCCTCGTTAAACTTCAGTTAATAATGCACCAGAATGGGCTCAGCCACTGTGAGTGAAGCGCCACCCCAACGGGGGATGGCAACAGTGGGAAACTGGGGCTTGGGGGGGGCATTTACGGGAACTCTCTTTCTGTTCAACTTTTCTATAACCTAAAAACTGCTCTAAGAAATAAAGTCTGGCCCGGCCGGGCGTGGCTCAGCGGTTGAGCGTCGGCCTAGGATCCAGGCAATCGGGGTTCGGTTCCCCGTCAGGGCACAGGCCCGGGTTGCGGGCTGGATCAATGACTCTCTCAACATTGATGTTTCTATCTCTCTCTCTCCCTCGCCTTTCCTCTCTCTCTGAAGTCAATAAAGATATATTTGAAAGAAAGAAAGAAAGAAAGAGAAAGAAAGAAAGAAAGAAAGAAAGAAAGAAAGAAAGAAAGAAAGAAAGAAAGAAAGTCAGAAAAATTTTTGAGAGAGAGAGAGAGAGAAACTACCACATTCCCAGACCTATGCACCAGTGCGGCAGGCTCGTTTCACTGTAATTTCAAGATTGGCTCCAACATCTGGTTTGCCGAGTCCCTAACTGTGATAATAACATAAAACATAAACTCAGGTGGTAAGGATCAGCCCCACGGGGCTGTGACTACTTAATCCTTGAGATAATGAAACCCCAGCCCTGGGAGCCCTGCTGGAAACCGAGAGAATGATTACCGGGAACGTCAGCACGTAAGGGTCACGCTCCCGATGGAGGGAGGGACACAGCGTGCTTGGTGGCTGAGGGCCAGCCGACTGGGCCATCGCTGTGGTCCATCCCCTGTGGCCCACCGCCACGAATGGGGCCTGGAGGAGCCGCCTGCTGTGTGTCCTGCATTCCTTCTGCAAGTCTGTCTCCCCACCTGCCCCTCTGTTTCGAGGGTGGTGACAGGGCTGGCACATGGCGGGGGCTCAGCAGGGGTGTGTGTTTGAGGGGGGGCCTCCTTCCAGAGGCTGACACTGGGAGAAATGTGGCCATGAGCAGCCCCCGGAAGTGCAGGCTGGCCAGGGGGCTCCCTGCCGACTTCAGCTCAGGCCACTGGCAATTCCTGCGACAACTCAAGCTTCAAGCAGCTGGTCCAGGCGCCCACACCCCAGAGTGTGTTATTTCATCCCAGGAAGAGCAGCTCTTCCTGACCGGAGAGGCATCTGAGGATCTCAGGGGTGGCATTCCGGAAGGTCAGGGCTTAGCGGGCATCTGGGCCCATCGCCCCCCCTGACACACAGGGGAATCTACCAGTGCCCTGCAAGTCTGGGCCAGGCAGGACCAGGACTTGGGTTTCTGGGCTCCTAGGCCCAGGCTTGTTCCCTGTGTCACACTGCCACTGGTCAGGGCAGCCACCACTGGATCAACAAGTGACCTGGTCGGCACACAGCAGATGCCCAGTAAATGTTCCTTAAATCTAATGGGAAACAGGAAACGCATTTAGTGACTCAAACGCCATGCAGTGTGCGTGCAGGGGGATAATTAACAATCTCTGTGACATCATCATATTTCAGGTCCTGTGCCCAGGCCGTGCCAGGCACTGACTGCCCTGGGCAACCTCCATCTATAGCCCAGGTCACAGAGTTGAAAATGGGCAAAGAGCACAGTCAGGATTCGAACACAGGCTGCAGGATCCCAAACCCACTGCCAACTCCCATCGAGAGGGCCTGTGAGGCGGAGCTAACCCATCCAGGGCCCCTCCCAGGCCATCTGCCACAGGATACCCCCGGTGTGGGAGCTCCACGTGTGCACTGGCCAGCTCAGAGTTACCAGCTGCCCCTTCCTGCCCAGGCCTTTGAAGATGGAGCTGAAGCCTTGACCTCCAGATGACACCATTGTAATTAGCTAATTATTAATAATAGGAAAGGAGCAAAGGGGAGGCCAAACATTATGGGCATGTCATTTGGGCAGCTTCACCAGGAAGCTGCAATTTCACACTCCCCCGGGAACCACTGGCTCATTCCCTGCAGGTCACTGGGGGAAGGGGTCCAACAAAGGGGTAATAGATGCATGCACAGTGAAGTTGGGGTGACTAGGGAATGTGACTGTCAGTCACACCTGGGAATAGAGATCATTGGCCAGAATGGGTGGCCCCTGCAAGCCTGTGAACATTTAGGAATACATAATGCCCTAAATAAAGGTGCTCACTCTCTTGGCTCTTGGCCTGTGGCTCACTCTTGCCCTCTGGCTCCTTTGGCTTTGCACCCACCCGTGTTCCCTCCACAGCCACATGGCCCATGGGCCCCACATGCAATGGACTGATGGACCGCAGCAGGGAACACAAACTAAGCTAGTCTGATGCTGACTGGACTGTGCCTTAACATGGAACAAACACTCTGGATACTGGCTCTGATTCTAGCTCTGCTGAAGCCACAGCCACGCTTCTCCCTTGGTGGAAAAGAGGGAAATGGGACCTTGGAAACTCAGGGGTGTAATTCGGCAGAAATAAAGCTTTCTACTATATCACATCCTCCCGTGCGAGTCTCAGAAAATTCTTTTTCTCAGGATTTCGCAAGAATTCCACTCCCATGAGCAACAGGTGGGGATGAGGGCCTCTCCCCACCCATAACACAGACACCACCTGCCTGGTTGTGGGGCCTCCGTGCCCCATTGGGGAACATCAACAAGTCCAAACAACCCAGAAAAGTCCTTGGCTTTGAATCCAGCCAGGATGGCCTCAGAGAGCCCAAGAGATCCCAGCTCTCCCCAGCGACCTCTTCTCCCATCCTATGTTCTGGGAGGATACCGGTCACTGTCCAGGTCCTGCCATGTGCCTGTCACTTCTAGTCCAATTATCCTGTTTGTTCCACTCGACTGGGAACCATCCTCTCTTGACTATTTCCCAGCTCTGCAGAGGTGCCCGGTGCCCGCTTTTAAAATAAAACAGCTTTGTCGAGATCTATTTCACATGCCGTACAATTCACTACTTACGATGTACAATTCAGTGGTCTTTAGTGTATTCAGAGAGTTGTATGCTGAATACAACTTCAATTTTAGAACATTTCCATCACCCCCAAAAGAAACCCCGTGCCCGTTACCATCACTCCCCATTCGCCTCCTCCAGCCTGGCAGCGATGATCCACCTCCCGTCTCTGTGGACTTGCCTGTTCTGGGCATTTCGCATAAACGGGTCACACAGCACGGGGCCCTTGTGTCTGGCTTCCTTCGCCGAGCATAACGCTCTCGAGGCCACGCCCGTCGCAGTGTGTGCGGCGCTTCCCTCCTTCGTCGGGCTGGGTACCATTCCACTGTGAACGTGCCCACGCACCCACTCACAGCTGAGGGGCTTGGGGCTGGTTGCACTTTGGGGCTATTATGAAGCAACCGCTCATGCTGGGACGCGTTCCCATTTGTCCTGAGTGCACAGCTGGGCATGAGCCGCTCGGACGGAGGTAACTGTGTCTAACCACCCGACCTCCTTCCACAGTGGTGGCGCCACGTGACATTCCCACGAGCAGCCACGGAGGAGGGTCCGAGTCCTTTGCATCCTGTCGACACTGGTTACCGTCTGTCTTTTTTACTACAGCCGGCCTGGTGGGTGGGAAGGGGTGTCCCCGGTGGTTCTGACTTGCATTTATGTCCCTGGTGGCCGATGCTAAGAGCCTTTCGTACACCGGTTGGCCTGCTGTGTGCCTTCTCTGGAGAAACGACTCTTCAGGTCCTTTGTCCACTTAATTCGGATGTCTTTTTACTATTGGTTTTTAAGTTGTTTAAATATTCCCAAAACAAGTTCCCTTATCAAATACGTGATTGGCAAATACTATCTCCCGGTCTGCGAGTTGTGTTTTCATTTCCTTCATAACGTTCTTCGCAGCATAAAAGGGTTGAATTCTGATGAAATCCAACTTCGGTGTGTTTTCCGTGTCACTTGGGTCCTTGGTGTCACGTTTAAAAAACCGCTGCCACCTGGCCAGTGTGGCTCAGTGGTTGAGCATCCACCCATGAACCAAGAGGTCGCCGGTTCGATTCCCGGTCAGGGCACATGCTGGGGTTTCAGGCTCGATCCCCAGCAGGGGGCATGCAGGAGGCAGCCGATCAATGCTGATGTTTCTCTCTCATCCATGTCTCTATCTCTCTCCCCCCTCCCTTCCTTTCTCTGAAATCAATAAAAACATATATTTTTTTAAAAAGACGCCATTGCCTAATCTGAGGTCACAAGGATTTATCCCTGTTTTCTTCTAAGATCTCGTTTTTTCGTTTCCCTCTTACTGTGACCTTAGGCGAATAGAATCCCACTTCCTTCGCTGCCATTTTTATCACAAGATTCCACGCCTCTGTGTGAACTGGGGACGGGAGTGCTTGTTGCACCGGGTTCGGGCTATTTTCCACTTTACTATCATCTGCTCTTCGCCACGGTTACTGGCCGTCCTGTGGGGAAGCACAACAGGGTGTGGAGGACATGGTGTCCCCAGCTGACAGGGACCCGCCCACCCTCCGGGTGGAAATGCCATTTGAGAAATGGACCTGGTCACGTGTCCCAGCTCTTGGAATCCACGGGTATTTTCAGAACGATCCAGTCCACCGGCCAGGCCGGGAGATGCCACCTGAGCCCCAGCCAACGGGAGCTCGGGGGCCAGGAGTGAGACGTCACCCAGGGCGAGTCAGGCCCGCTGGCGGGCGCCCCAGCCACTGGCTCCGGGGAGCAAATCCGAGGGTGTGCTGTGCTCGCTCCCAACACCCTGGGCGGGGGCAACCGGGTCAGCCCCACTTACAGATGCCCTGGGAGGTGAAGAGCCCGACTCAGACAGGCCAGTGAGACAGGCAAGTGGAATAGGGAAACTGAGGCAGAGAGAGAAACGACCAAGCAGTTTGCAGCCATCCAGTAAGTCGCAGAATCCCACCTTCCCTAGCCAAGGACATTTGAGAGTAAATGGTTTACCCTTCTCTCCACCCAGAGGGTAAATAGCTTAAAGCACCCCACTCAGGGGGACAGACAGCAGAGATCCAATTAGTGCCATTTGCCAACCACACCCGGGAGAGCTGAGGTTTTCATGATATTCCTTAAAGCAGGCCTCTCAGCCTCAGCTCAACTGGCATTTTGGGCCGGGCCACTCTTTACTGGGGGCCGCCCAGTGCACCTCAGGGTACTGAGCAGCATCCCTGGCCTCTGCCCCCGGGTGCCTGGAGCACCCTTCTCCAAGCCGTGACAACCAAAAATGCCTCCAGACATTGCCAAATGGTCCCTGGGGAGCAAACTGGGCCCCAACTGACAGCCACCGCCTTCAAAGACAAGAAAGAGGGAAGGAAGAGGGAGGAGCTGGTGCAGAGGTTGTGGGCCTGTGACTCTGCCCGGTGGGGGTCCGAGGGCACTGGAGCCAGTCTGGCTCCGATGCCCCCGCCTCACCTTCCCCGAGTCTCAGCTTACTCATCTGTAAAATGGGCCCACTCCACAGGGCTGTCATCAGAGTCCATAAGAGAAAGTCCCAAAGCCCGCCATACGGTTGGTGCTCATAGGTGCCAGTCCCACCACCTTCATGAAACAGCAGAGCTCGGCGAGACGGCCTCCCCGCCTGTCAGGCTCCCAGTGCTTATTCCTGCGCTCAAGACGTCTAGTTACAAAAATGTGCCTTCCTCCCCGGCCGGATGGTCTCAGCAAAAAGGACGGTCTGGGGCCTCACCTGTCTCTCCTCCGGGCATCCCCATGGAGGCGGCCTCCTCGGAAAAGCTGGTGCTCTGGGGGCTGCGGGCAGCAGCTGGGCTGGTGCAGGGGCCTCTGTGGCCAGCACAGCTCTGAGGGGACATGCCAGTGGGTCATGTGGCAGCCACCACCCTTGTGCCCTAGAAGGGGCAGGGCCACGGCCTTCCTGGCAACTGAAATAGACTCTCTCTCGCCAGGCTCCAGAGGTGCACCTGTCTCCCGGGCGTCCGGGAAAGGGACTTTGAAGAGACACACGGGCCTGGGGGAGGGGGCCAGGAACATTTACAGCCCAAGGTGCCAGGCACAGCAAGAGGGTGCTCACTCCCCCTCCCAATGACTGGGTAGGAGCAGGTACCACCCTGCCAGTGACCTGGGGCTGCCCAACACCCCCCCCCCCACGGGGGCTTCAACAATGAGCACCTCTGTGCCCAGGTCCTGGAGGCCAGAAGGCTGACGTCAGGGTGAGGGCAGGGCCTCCGGGGGAGGGGCCTTCCTGCCTGCTTCCAGCTCCTGGTGGCTCCAGCCATCCTGGCCTTGTGGCCACATCGCTCTCATCTCCCCACAGCCTCTCCCTGAGGCCTATGTGCCTTTTTTTTTTTTTTTTTCAGAGAGAGGAAAGGAGAGGGAGAGAGAGATGGAAACATCAATGATGAGTCATTGATCAAGCCCACAACTGGGCATGTGCCCTGACCAGGAATCGAACCCTGATCCCCTGGATCCCAGGTCAATGCTCAACTGCTGAGCCACAGCCAGCCGGGCCCTATGTGCCTTTTCTGTCTCTTGTAAGGATACCCTGGTATCCACCTTTATCTTTTTGTCGAATGTGTTTTTATTGATTTCAGAGAGAGAGGGAGAGAGAGGGAGAGAGAGGGAGGAACACTGCTCAGCTGCCTCCGGCATGCATCCTGACCGGGGACCGAACCCGAAGCCTGGGTATGTGTCCCGACTGGGAATCGAACCAGCGACATGGGCCACACTGGCCAGGGCCACCCTTACCTTCATTACATCTGCAAAGACCCTTATTCCAAATAAGGTCCCACAGCAAGGTTCCAGGTAGACGTACATTTGGGGGGACCTACTTCCCATTCATTTATTCTACACAACCCCAATGCACCAGAGGGGAAACTGAGGCCCGGGAAGCTCAGGTGACTCACAGGAGACCCCTGGGCATAAGAGACAGTGCTGGGTCCCTGAGGTGTCCCCTGTTTTCTGTGGGGCTCCTCTGCTAGTTCCGGCTTTTAGGTCTCGGGAGGGGGAAACATTTCTCTGAGCAGCCCGCAGGGTAGGTGGCCACCGCCCTGGAGCCCGCGTGTGGCCGCAGAGAGCCCGGGGCAGCGCCCTGGTTGGTGGTGCCCGCGACGTGTGCAAACCCGGCCAGCAGCTAACCGGGCCGGGGTCCCACAGGGAAGAGGCTTCGGGGAGCCATGGTTAAGCACAAGCCACACTCACGCCAGGCGGGCGGGAGCAGCTGTGGGAGGGGTGAGGCTCGCCCGTGACGGTGCCCAGGGGAAGCCACCCGCCCGCCAGCTCTCAGGAAGGGGCGGGGCGGGCAGCCGGTCCCCAACCTGCCGGTCCCGAGCCACGCCCAGTGACCGGGAGGGTGACCACACATCCCTGCGGGAAAGGCCCCTGGAGCATCACTACCCAGCCCAGGGGACCCATAAAGGGGCACAAATTATGCAGCCAAGGCAGGGACTTCTATGCTCTGTTGCTTAAAAATGAGAAGAGTTTCTCCTCTATTTGTTCTGCTCTCTACAGCCCTGTGCCCACCTCAGGGCAGAAACAATGCCGGTGACAATGACAAGAGTCCCTGCTGAGCACTCAGCTAGTCCCACATGCTGCCTGCGGGTCCCAGGAGGGGCAGAGCCACCCACCCAGGCCACCTGAGCCCGGCGAGCTGCAGGTCCCGAGTGAGGATGGTGGACTGTGGGTCTCCCGTGGACCAGATTCCTGGGGCCATGCTGACAAAGCACCACAAACAGGGGACCTCAAAACAATGGATTTATTCTCTCCCACTTCCGGAGGCCAGGCATCCAAAAGGGTCTGACCAGGGTGAAACCCAGGTGTCGGGGAGGCTGCCTCCCTCCCGGGGCTTGGGGAGGGCCTGCTCTTTGTCAGCTTCAGGGGGCCGCTGGCATCCTGACCGTGGGTGCCCCCGGACACATCCCCCTGCTCTGCCTCATGGCCACATCACCTAGATGTGTGTAACCTCCCTCGGCCTCTCTCCTAAGGACAACTGTGACTGCATTTGGGGCTCTTCCAGATAACCCAGGGTCATCCCCATCTCAGCATCCTTAACTCAACCCATCGGCAAAGACTCTTCTTTCCAAATGAGGCACCACTCGCCGGCCAGAGTGAGGGTCAGACGCGTTTCAAGAGGGTCGTTTCTCAGCACTAGTGTATCCGATACGCAAATACATATCAACACCCTTGATCCTGGCGCTGTGCTCGGCTGTTTCTCTATTCAACTCAACTTATATAACAGATGTGACCCACTAATCTGATTTTGTGCCCATAAGTGGGCCGCCACCTGCAGCATAGAAAGTTCTATCCTAGCCCTACACCCGAATGAAAACCGTGATGATTTAATATAAAAAAGACAGAAACGCGCTCTTTCTGCACAACCAGGGGGGCAGACTGACAGGGTCCGAGAAGGATGCTCCCAACTCGAGGAGGGTGTCCCTCGCCCCGCGGGCTGCCCGGCGTCAGAGACAGTCCTCCCCCTGTGGCTCCCACATGCCACAAGCAGTCTGGCTCACCAGGGGGCTGGGGAAGGGGCTCTAACCAGAAGGGAGAGGGAGTGGGGAACCTGGGGTGGCCTCAGTGGCTCCAGTGCTTCCCCGACCTCCACTGGCTCAGAGCCCTCCTGCCTCACCCTCCTCCTGGCACAGCCTCCTCCTGGCAGAGCCCCCGCTCCACATTCTAACTCTGCCTTCGCTCCCTGACAGCCCCACGCTGCCCACCAATCACTGGACTACCGATCGTGACGTGACGCTCACTCAGTGCATTGACCAAAGCTGCTCAGAAGATGAGAAACACACGAGAGCGAGGGCTTGGAGACGTGACGACAGCCGGAGAGATTGTCAAGGTGACTTTAAGGGAAGGAAGACAACCCTCCTTCAGGGACATAGAAGATTCGGTCTGGAGGGACCCGAGACATCCAGTCCCTAGGCAAGGATTCCTGAGGCCCAGCCCTGGCCTCTCCTGAGCACTCAACCCCCAGTGCCCGCTTTACACTGGACGCCTCCACCTGAAAGTCCTCCAGGCACCTCACAGTTGGAAAGAGAACGCCTCGCTCACTGCGTCCGCTCCCCCACCACTCCTCACCCCCGACAGGGCCACACATCACACACCTGTACCCTCGCCCGCGGGCTCCCCTTCTGCAACGCGGGCAGACACGTGTGCCACCGGCGCCCTCGCTCAGCAGCTGTGTGGCCTTGGCCCAGAGGCTTCACCTCTCTGGGCCTCCGTCTCCTTGTCTGTAGAATGGGAATGCCTACCTACTGGGTTGCAGAGAGGCTAAATGAGATGGTCCTGGTGACAGTACCTCGCCTGGTACCTGGTGGGCACTTGGCAACGGGCATCTTTCCCTCCCAGTTCCTGTTAGTTTCCGTGGCTGCCGTGACAACGGGCCACACGCTGGGCGGCTTAAGCAAGAGAAAACTCTTTCCATCATTGTCCTGCCTGACAAAACGTGGCCCCACGCCCATCCCGCCTGAGTCAATACAGACAGCTAAGCACCCCCGGGGGAAACCGAGCAGAGCAGGGCTCGGGAAACAGAAACTCCGGCGGCCCAGAGGCCCCGGCACCTGGCAGGCTAAAGCCGGGAGGTGCCCTTCCCATCAGTTTAGAAAATACCCACACTGTCCTGGGCGGGGCTAGGAGGGGACAGGATGCACCCCCCGCAAAGGCATAAACTGGGATGGCCGCGGGGGAGAGGGTTCGGCAGGCGGCGGACCTTTGACCACTTGTACCCCAAGGAGCGGCCTCACACGCAGACCTGCGCCCAGGCGCAAACACAAATGTGCAAGAATCCTCATCTCTGCTCTGAAAGCACAGGGACCCTGTCACACGGACACAGTCACCAAGGCAGCCTCCTGCCAACAATGCTCAGCCCGAGTCCCGTCACCGAGAAACAGACCAATCCAGACCAGGGGACGACCCACAGCACAGCAGGCCTGGACTCTCCCGTGGCAGCGGCAAGAAGGAAGAACATTCTAGAATGAAGGAGGCTAAGGGCACAGAGGTAATAACTGGTTGCAGTGCGTGATCCTGGACGGGCTCCAGGAGGAGACAGACACACACCTGTGAAGAACACCTGGGTGGCATGAAACGCAGGCTCGCTGTAGGTGGCCCGCGGGCACCCACGCGCACTAGCCGTGGGGGTGAAGTGTCAGGATGCGGCTGGCTTTCAGATGGCTCAGAAAAGAGAGGTGGGCCCAGGTGAAAGTACTACAGGGTGTTCACTGCACTGCTCTTTTTTTCAACTTTTCTATGTGCTTAAAAGTTTTCAAAATAAAAAGTTGGGGGGAAAGTTGATGAAGACAACAATGCCACTGGAAACAGGACAGAGCAGGACCTGCTACTTTACCATCAAAGATCCTGGGAGATAAACTGCCGTGACAGAAACACACCTGGGCTCAGAACACCTGGGCTCGGAACACCTGGGCTCGGAACACCTGGGCTCAGAACACCTGAGATCGGAACACCTGGGCTCAGAACACCTGAGATCAGAACACCTGGGCTCGGAACATCTGAGATCGGAACACCTGGGCTCGGAACACCTGGGCTCGGAACATCTGAGATCAGAACACCTGGGCTCGGAACACCTGGGCTTGGAACACATGGGCTCAGAACACCTGAGATCAGAACACCTGGGCTCAGAACATCTGAGATCAGAACACCTGGGCTCGGAACACCTGGGCTCAGAACACCTGGGCTCAGAAAACCTGGGCTCGGAACACCTGGGCTTGGAACACCTGGGCTCAGAACACCTGATTTTG